TGGCGCTGACAAACCTGAAACACGAAAAAAATATCGGGCATAAAATCACACAAAAAGAAGAATTCTCCAAACCCTGAAAAATAAAATAATTAAATGAAGAAGAAAAACAACAAATTAAATAATGTGTCGATATAATTCAAAACTCAGACAACCACATAGAAAATAATTCAAAAGTAAAAATGAATACATATTTATTTTTTAATATATTAAATAGTAAACATTATATTAAATCCCGATTAAGTATTCATCACAAATTAGAATTGACATAATTAAAAAAAATTACGACTGAAAATAGAGTCAGAAAATTTAAATTAGGTGACATGATGATAAGTGAACTCGCAATGCAAGTTGGCAATGAAATTTAAATAGTCAAAAGCATAAGCCTATAAATATTAATTATGAATCAGCCCAATGAAGATGGAATTAGCGGCTCTTTGCCAATTAGTGACGGACTTTTTGCGCCTTTGAAGGTTATATTGTACTTTAGCCCGGCAAAAAGTGTATTAGAAAGTGTGTCACTATTTGGACAATATTACCCATTAAACTCCTGAGTGTATAATGAAGATTGTGTGAACAGTGAACTCACGTTATCGATTTGCTAAATTTTTTATTAGTTTTTAATCAGTGAACTTGGTTGAAGTTGGTGACCACAATCCGATCTAAAAATAATTAACCAATCACGTGGCTTGAAACAAGAGCCGCAAGGCTCTGACCAATCAGCGGGGAGCATACAAAGCCGTGCACATGCCAGCCAATCACATGGCTGCTCTCAAAATATAACATTTTTTCACTTCTTAGTCGAGTCCTTAAATGTACACGTGAAAATTAGTGAATAAATATGTAAAAAAATGTGTTGGAGAGAAATCAGATATAAAATTAAAAATGAATGATAAAGGGCGAAAGGTGAGTTTCTTTTCATTACAAAATTTATTTGAATGTTAGCCGAAATTTAATAAATTTTTCTCTAATGAATTTTGCTACCAGCAATAATTATTCTAAATTAAATTTATTCGGATTCCACTGGACCTCTAAAAATTTTATTTTATTGCAGAAAAGAACACGATTGTCACTGCTGCTGTTCATAATGTCATAAAATAATCCATTAATATAATTTTTCGATGCCAATATCCACATATTAAATGAAGAAAAAGTATTCGGATAATGATAAATTATTCTCAAATTTGAACAGAAATAAAAAGTCTACGGATTTTGCTACTAACATTCAAGTATCTTTGCGGAGCGGATCGAGTTGGCTTCGTGTTCAGGAATTCGTCACGGAATTCATTCAGAATTCGTTCAAGAATTCGTATAGATTAATAAATGTAGTCTCATTGTAATCCTGGTAACGTTGGCTAAACCGTACATCAGAGGATGGGTTTCCTTACGATTTATTATATATTATATATTATACATTATATATTATACATTATATATTATTTATTATATACTATATATTATACATTATATATTATATATTGTATTTTATATATTATATAATATTTATTAAATATCATATATTATATTATTATAGGTAATCCAACTAGTTATATATTTTCGATAAAGATTCATATTAGAGAGGACCTGATTGAATAAATAATTTTCCATTTACTAATTAAAAACAATGTAGATCTACGGCGTAATTATTACTAGTGAAATCTNCTCAGGACACACTTGTCATACTCTCAGGACACACTTGTCATACTCTCAGGACACACTTGTCATACTCTCAGGACACACTTGTCATACATATACATCGGGCGGCCAAGCAGACCCAGAATAACTTTAAGTCGCGTGTAGCGACTCTTTGGCAGAAGCTTATGCGGTACCAGATTTTTGTTAGAGTGATGCAGGAGAGTGTGTTTTGTTTGTAAACTTTCCCTCTACATTTAATATTCCTTCGATAAATATTTAAATATGAAGTTGACATTTATCATAAACTCGATTTTAACTCGTACCCATTGAGTGGATGGCAGATTGAGGCTGTATGACTCCAGGTTCCCTATAGCGGAAGAAGAGCTTTACGGGTAGGGGGGCCATCAGCAGGTTATAGGTGTGGGATAGGTGGTGCACGCCACCCTTAATTCACTGTATAAATTTTCGTTTGAGGAACGAAAACAATCTAATTAGAGCTCGGAGTTTTAGGCTGTTTGCTTTTAACAAGTTGAAAGCTCTACTTGATCTTTTGGATTGTTTCTTCCTGGAATTTAATCGTATCAGTAAAGAAAAAGGATGAAAGCTCTGCGATGATGATTGTCGCCATCGACAATGATTGTCGCCATTGCTTTCCTTCCGTTGACCTTGAGCCGAAGCTATGGTGTGACCGCAGCTTGCGTGCAGTTTTAATTCTAATGAAGCACAGCATTAATCAAATAATTTCTAATAGGAAAGAAAAACAACGTTTGTGTATTGAATTTTATATGAAAAGTTCTCTTTTAGATCAAAGATGTCAAAGACTTAGTCGGGAGCTCATGAATCCTCTACGCGAGATACTCAATACAATGGTTGTTCGTGGGTAGTAGTTCTTTCGAGTTGGGTTCACAGTGAGACGAAGCTTCAGACCAAAAATTCTCCGTAAGATAACTTTTCAACATTCAACTGTTCTCGAGTGTATGAGTCGATTATCAACACCTCGTTTTGTTGATTTTAAAAGGGGCTGGGGTGCCTTTCTCCATCAAAAAACGAAAGAAAAGTTAAAGTTGAATAAGTTTGTCCCCTTCAGAAAGGTCTTTGCCTGCTTGATTCTTTTGGAAAGTTGGTGGCTCGCTTATTTTTTGAAATTCAAGATGGCGTCGGAACAACATTCAAGATGGCGTTGTAATAGCATTCAAGATGGCGACCAGTGCAGTTCAAACACGTTTATGCGTTCCAGAAATCGCTGGGAAGTTTGTACGTACTCATATACATCCATTGCATGTGTAGGGTATGTCGTAATGAAAATTTTTATAACAAGAACAGAAGCTAAACATGAAACGAATACCACGGGAATGACATAACTAAGAAAACAATAGCCTCAATTAACAAGAAGAAGAGAAATGAATCACTAAAACGACCTAGCAATTGAACATTATAACAATAAAGATATTATCGTTATACTTCGTAAAGTTATAATTAAATAATAGCATATAATTGTTATTAATATTCCCTATAATAGGTGTAAACATGTTGCCTATCCATATGGATCGTAAACAGCTGAAGTTTTAAAACACTTTTCGGTTTGACGGCGTGCAAAAGTTATGATGTTTCACCAGACCATCCTGAATGAAAGGTATTTATGGTACCAGGATCTTCCATTAAATGTATCTCAGATTAACAGAAAAGAGTGCAATCTCGTTTACAATTATTATATATTCATTTTCAAAATGCAAATGAATCCGTTATCCCGAAGAGAAAAATAGGCTTTTGATGTTAATTGAGTCAACCGAGATGAAAGTTAAGTTCCTGAACACTTAATCAATTTACTGCTACTTCTTCTTCAGCTTGACTGGACCGATGGTGAGAGGAGGCATCAGCTGAGTCCACCACAGACAGCAAAGTACATCTCTTTACCTCCCGGTACTCTTCCCAGGTAAAGAGAGGTGGTGAAATAGGTACTCTTTAGTACCTCTTACGGTTGCTGCCATAAGCGTAGATCCTCTGGGAGTTTTCGAAGTTGCGGATGGAGCTTCGGACGTCGTTGAGGAGAGTCTGGGTCTTGAGGTCGGGGTTGCGAGATCGTTCCAGGGAGCTGTACATACCCCTCTCGGCGAAGGCCATGCGTCGGGGCACCGTGGCACTACCTTGAGACGAGAAAGCTGTGGTCGTACCCCACATTGTGTTAGTAAATGAAAAAAATAAGTAAGAACACCTCGAACACCATGGAAAAGATTTAAACTGAAATTGACTCAAGTCTAGAAACCTAACAGGAAGCAGGAGTCTTAGAAAATAAAGAGGTAATACACCATGAACAACTAGGGGAAAGTTTCAAACTGAAATTAACTTTCGTCTAAAGAACTCAAGAGATACCAGGAGTCAAAGAAATGAACTCAACTTAGCTAAAAATATAGCATGCTAATTAAACGAAACATATGCATCGATACGTTCTAATTTAATGAAGAAGAACTTGTAAGAAACAAAGTTAAATAAATATTCTTGCACTTTTCAATCGACTTTCAGTAACATTTCTACAAATGAATCTAGGAGAATTCTACAGTTACTGTCATCACACGAAAATCTGCACTGAGAAGGAGAAGAGTCGGCAAACAAATAGATGGATTGTATGGCAAGTAAAGAAAATATTTGCATACAATTAAAGTTTTAGGAATATTATAGGAAATCTAGTTAGGAACTGAAGAAAGTTTTCACCATGATCACTTCGTAACGGGACAACTGAACTAAAAAATGCCACTCACCAACGAAAATAAACAATTTTTCCCAAATTTAAATTTAAGCGGCTCCTTTACATCATGCATATAATAAATATTGGAACAAATTGGAACAATATCAACCATCAGTTTATATGTACACGTCAATTCAATGCACGATGTTTTTACAATGCACGTGATAAGTAACTGAAAAATTATTATAATACGTATAATATTTTAATGGAATACTGGAATATTAAATATTCGAGTTTAATATTCCACTTGATGCTGGAATATAAGGAATAATTAATTAAATAATAATTGATTATATATTAGTTCAATTCGAAACCATCAATGTATATTTAATGAAAATTCTACTGCATTGTACTGCATAATTTAATTCTACACTGCATTTCCATAATTTAAATGAAAATTCATTGCATTATGCTTTTGATACTACAGCTCCCTGCTTTTACATTCCGATCTACAGTTCTCTAGTTTTTAGTCCAACTAATTATTAATATATTGCACAAATTCTTTCAGTCTACGTAGTTAAGAACATACAAAGTGATATCCAAACTATCAATTCATTTATTAATATTCCTTATTTACTACCTTCATATCTATTTTCAAATCCCCATTCCTTCTATCTACTCCGGAATATCTTGAGAACAACTTTTGTAGTCACAAATAATTTTGTATTTGATAGTTTTTATCCTGCAATATAACCTCATTTCCATCGAACTTTTCACTTCCACAAGCAGTCTATGTATCTCATTAAGGTGGAGGATAAAATCTAATTGCATAATTCTCATCCATGTGGTTTTCATAACCTGACCAATTTTCTTACCATCTCGCTCATCTACCATCTTTAAACTACTACTGATACCACTAATGTCCCACTAACCGGTGTTCACCTGGTATATGTAGCCGACCATCGAGAGGTAGTAAATAATCTAACCTCGATTATTAACTTCTTAGCTATCTACCATCATTAAGATACCACTGGGCTACCACTGGGCTACCACTGGGCTACTACTGGGCTACAACTGGGTTATAACTGGACTACCAAAGAGCTACCACTGGGCTATAACTGGGCTAACGTTGGGCTACCAATGGGCTATAACTGGGCTACCACTGGGCTACTAGTGTTACCACTGGGCTACCCCTGAGCTACCACTGGGCTACCACTGGGCTACTAGTGGTACCACTAATGTCCACTGACCAGTGTTCTTCTGGTCTACGTAGCCAACCATTGAGGAGTAGTAGTTGGTGCCGTAGTCGAAGTTGTAGTCGTAGAACTTAGCCTTCCTGCGGTCCCAGTGCACGAAGAACTTAGGTTTGGGCTTAGGCTGGGGGGGCAGCTCCCCTTCTTGGCCCAGGGGGGCCTCTTCTCCCTCAGGAGGGGCTTCACCCTCAGCGGGGGCGGGGGCGGCCTCTGTAGCGCATGCAACATAAGTAAGATTTGTTTGTATTGCAAAAGGACGATAATAAAATATTTGAGTTACCCTTATCATTTAAAATATTTGAGTTACCCTTATCATTTTCAGCTTACTTTTCGTTAAAGAAAATTTTAATAGGAAACGCTTGAATAAGTTGATTATATTTTTTATTTGAAAAATAAAATTTAAATCGAAATAATATTTTTAATTATATTTTTTATCATGAAAAGTTGTGAAACTATTAATGGGCTAATAAATTTTTTAGCCCTCATTTTACAAGAAACTTGTGACTGAAAATACACGAAAATAAAAGTTAAATAAATGAAATAGTTCTAATAAATTTCCCAAACTTTATTAATAATAACAACGCTCAGTGCCATAAATAAATATTGAAATTTCAAAAACTAATGTTAATTAAAAAAACATGTTAGCATAACAACACAAACATAAGAACACAAGCTTCTCATCGAAAAAGGTCATGCAAAAATTCAAATATCAAATTAAAATACGATCATAAAAAGTAAAAAAATACTATGTTTGAGTCACGCATTCGAATTATGTGTGAAATTACCGCAGGTGAGATTAACACTGTAAAAAATCCATATGAAAAAGTATAAAAAAATAAATTTTTCTCGCGTACGAAAAATCAGATGTAAAAATATGGATTATAAAAAAGTAACTTTTAAAATTGAAGTCGATTGGTTTTTTTATTTTATCCTGAAACGAATTACACAATGTATATTTAAATAAATTACCCAAAAAATCAAAATATTGCGGAATTGAAAAATTAGTTGGAAATGCCGGTAATTGGCTGGTGATTGGGCGGCTATTGATCCCATATCAGTGCAGTGTTACAGTCAGAAATACAGTTAATTGGTTGGATATCGAGCCAATTTCAGTGCAGTGTTACAGATAGAGATTGAGTTAATTGGTTGGTTATTGGAATTGTTTAATTTTATATTATTTGAATTAATTTAAATCCTTAGATAGGTCCTGCTGATCCGAAGGTCATCGTTTACCACTTGTGCGACTGTGTGATCTGTATTAGCAGATGTGTGGTCTGTATTAGCAGCTGTGTGGTCTGTATTAGCAGCTGTATGGTCTGTATTAGCAACTGTATGGTCTGAATTAGCAACTGTATGGTCTGTGGTAGCAGCTGAATGGTCTATATTATCTGTGTTTCAGCTGTGTGGTCTGTATTTGCAACTGTGTGGTCTGTAGTGGCAGCAGTGTTGTGTGAAACATTATTCACTGTCTCTCCTATAACCTAACTATGCAGTCTGTATTAATTATCAAAATTCTGTTTCAATAATATATTATTTAACAATATATTGGATATTATGGCTGTAGCGTGGAGGACATTCGCTGGACATTCCGATCCCAATTCGTCCAGCATGCGAGTCTCCCAACATGGCGGGGCAAACTGTTAAATTTGATCAATGTGGATTATATATACGGCGTTCAATGTTTTAATTGACGATGCTTATAATTATTTTTTAAGCTTATCTTTATTATATGATACTTTAAATAATTTAAATAATATTTTATTCTCAATTCTACGTCAAAAACATCTACTCCAAATCTACACATACACGAATAACTACAAATTTACGAAAACGAAAAATTATGGAAAATTACTCAGTCTAAAAATTCTGCAAAAATACGTAAAACTGAAAAAAGTATACACATAGAAAAAGCATTGCAGCGCCAGTGACATCAATAACAATAAAAAATAATTATTATAATACGAGCAGTAAAAAAGAAAGTTTTGGACGATTGCTGCCGATGAAGACTAAATTGAAAGCAATTTGGAAAAAAATTAATGTATACGAATTTAGGACTTCGATATTTTCCAGCTTTGGAACTGCTATTTGTGTCATAATTAACTATAGAAAACACACGTTTCTTTTGTGTTTGAGTCACACTTCGCTGTGACGGCTGCCATCCAAAACTACGCGTAGTATATATACTGAATCGCGTAATAATACGCCAGTGAAACGGCGCGTAGTAATACGTCTAGGAGGAACATCAAAGTCTCAGCACTTATAAACTACGCAGCGAAAATTCAACTAGTTCAAATATTCAACTAGAAGAAGAACAATCTAGAGTACTGCTATCACTAGAGCACGTCAACAAAAATACGGACAGCAAAAGCACACGGGCGACATGGCAATGGAACTAACGACGGACTGACTTCGGTAGAGGGAGTGACTAACGTTACTAATGGCGTAGAAAAGTCTGATGTTGGAGTAGAACCAGGAATTGAGCATGATTTACATTCGTGGCAGTATCAATATGCAGTTCGAATGATCCTAGTTGGATAAGTGTTACACGATCAGTCCACTGAAATGGAGGAACTAGTTGAACAAGTGCATGCAAATTACTTTGTTTCTCATCACGAAACATCGACATTTAATATAGAGTCTTGAGGGAACTAGTTGATGCATGTATCAGCATCTTTTCATCAGCATACTGTGTGATGGGAACTAGTTTCTCCAGCGTAGCAACATATATCAGCGTGGTTGGAACTATTGGATGCCCAATGCCCGGTGTGATGGGAACTAGTTTCTCCAGCGTAGCAACATATATAAAGCGGCTGAAACTAGTTGATACCAATGTACTGTGTGACGGGAACTAGTTTCTATAGCGCATCAACATAGTATATGTCTGTGTCTGGAACTAGTTGATGATGCGGCACACAGTCGCGTAGTAATAATGACCGTCGGATGCAGGTGCAGGTTCCTCTGCTGTAGCGGCGCTGAGCCAGTCATCGGTATCACCTTCAACAGGTGCCGGCGCCGGTGCCGGAGCGGGTTCCGGTTCCGCGGGAGCAGGTTCTGGGGGAGGTGCCTCTTCGGCGGCACCCTTCTTGGGCTTCTTCTTCTTCTTTTTCTCTTTAATGGTCAGAAATGAGGAAGTTTAAGAGAAGTGTTCCTTAGGAATGAAAAGTGGTACCTCTGACTGAAGTTCGCTCTTTGACACTCTCAATAAAATCATTCATGTGGTTTGGTCTTCAAAACTAAATAAAATAAAAATCAAAAAGTATCATACAAGATGACGATGTATTAAACAAGATGGCGATGCATTGAACAAGATGGCGGTGAATTAAGCAAGATGGCGGAGCATTAAACAAGATGGCTGTGCATTAAACAAGACAGCGGTGCTTTAAATTGTCTTCTGCAATGCCGAATGCTCGTTGGATGAGAAAAACTGAAGTAGAAAAATGTAAAAAGAGATCGTTCGTAGGAAATAGGGTTTAAAAATGGATATGTACGCGAAGAAAGTCGAAAGAAATTCATCTGTGGAGAAAAAACAATAAAGGAGAAACAATTTATAAAAATCCATGGGATTGTAAAGAATTGGAGAGCTCGATTATCTGCAGCACAAAAATTAGATTGATTGAAAAGGATGACGACCATTTTTTTGGATGATTGAATAAAAAAATTTCGAATTGATTGCTGTCCAGGATTCAAGATGGTGGCCATAACGGTTGTTTGTAGAAGGAAATGGGTCAAGATGGCGGCCTAAACCGTTGAAAGGCTGTCTGCAGAACGAAGGATTTTCTGCATGGCGAAGGATTTTCTGCAGAACCGAATGACGTCATCCGAAGCAGAGTAGGTGACGATCGATGTCGTTGTTTCACAATCAAATACTGTAATATGTGATTGTGATATAATACGGAGCGTACTATATGTGTAGACGCTCTTACCCGCAAAGCATCAGACGTTGAAATAACGTTGATAAAACGTTGCATAAACGAAATCAACTCGTAATCAACGTTTTTAAGAAACGTTGATTTTGAAATTTTGAAAAAATATCCGCTGGTATTATTTACCAGCGTACTGATGAGCTTCCGGCTAGCAACTGATGTTGAAATGCCATTTTCTTCGACGTCATTTGCCTGTATGGTATTAGTCCGTACATGAATATTGTTGTGTATTGTGTGGATCGGTATTGTGTAGATCGTAGATCCCATTGTGTACTCTGTAGATCGCTATTTTATTGGTGGAGTCGCATCAAAATTAATCATGTCGATCATATAGCTATTTTAATGATTTATAATTGATGAACATAATAATAAAGGGGGACATCAACTGAAAAGTATTTTTATGAAATTTATTTAAAAGACAGTTTGCAGTGGATTAAGTAATTGATTGTAGCGGATTAGATAATTACAAACATTAACACAGGATTGGTTTATCAAAATGTATATAAATACCTTTATATCAACATTTATATATAAATGCTGAAATTATTTTTATATGAATTTCAAATTTCGCAAAATACTTCTCAGTTTTTCCAGTCTCGTCATTAGGAAAATTCACACCAAAAGAAATTGGCGCTGACAAACCTGAAACACGAAAAAAATATCGGGCATAAAATCACACAAAAAGAAGAATTCTCCAAACCCTGAAAAATAAAATAATTAAATAAAGAAGAAAAACAACAAATTAAATAATGTGTCGATACAAATCCGAACCCAGACAACCACATAGAAAATAACTAAAAAGTAAAAATTAATACATGTTGATTTTTTCAAATATTAAATAGTAAACATTAAATTAATCACAAATAAAAACTTACATAATTACAAGGAAAATTACGGCGAATAATTAAAGGGATGAGCTAATTGTTTGTGTAGTTAATCCTTCCTAATTATATGAATTTATTTCTATACCTAATTCATATTTTTCAATAATTGAGTTATCCCCCCAAAAATTTTCATTTGCTGTCAATTAAAGAGCTTCGTAGGAAAAAAATCTGAGTAAGATATTTGCTCGGTGATAAATTAAAAGATGATCTAAAATAGATGAAATGTAGTTATTATATGGAATAATATATTAATTACTTAAATAAGGACAGAATTTCTAGAATTAAAATAATATGATTACACAGCAACCGAGATAAAAATTCAGATGAAAAGTTTTCAGAATTCAAGTGGCATTTTAAAATTATTTTTTTAATGTAAAAGATTAAACAGTTTATTAACTTTGAAATTAAATAAATTTAAAATATTATGCTGGTGAATAAGTTTTCTACTTTCATATACAAAAAGTTATTAAAGTTGATGGGAGAAGAAGAAAATACTTGCCAATAAATCTAATAAATTTCAACATATCTTATCAAAATTAGCTATGATTAATTGAAAATTATAAAAAGGAACCTAAACTGAAAATAGTATAAAAACTTGAAATTAGGTGACATGATGATAAGTGGAATTCGAGGACAGTGAACAACCGTTATTGATTTCTCAGATTTTTTATTAGTTTTTAATCAGTGAACTTGGTTGAAGTTGGTGACCACAATCCAATCCTAAAAATAATTAGCCACTCACGTGGCTTGAAACAACAGCTGCAAGGCTCTGACCAATCAGCGGGAGGCATACAAAGCCGTGCACATGCCAGCCAATCACATGGCTGCTCTCAAAATATAACATTTTTTCACTTCTTAGTCGAGTCCTTAAATGTACACGTGGAATTTAGTGAATAAATATGTGAAAAATGTGCAGTAAAGAAATCATACATATAATTAAAAATGAATAATGAATGACGAAAGGTGAGTTTGTTTTCATGACAAAATTTATTTGAGTGTTAACCGAAAATTTAATAAGTTTTTTCTCTGATGAATTTTGCTGCCAACAATAATAATTCTAAATGAAATTTATCCGGATTCCAATGTACCTCTAAAAAATTAATTTTATTTCAGAAAAAATCACAAATGTCACTGCTACTGTTCAGAATTTCAATTTCATAAAATAATCCTCTAATAAAATAATTTCGATGCCAATATCCATGGACTAAATTTAAAAAATGATTCGGATTTCGTTAACATTTATACAAAAATTTCGACTTCTAGGCAAAGTCTACGGATTATGCTACCAACATTCAAGTATCCCGGCAGAGCTGATTTAGTTTCGTGTTCAGGCATTCGTATAGAATTCGTCCAAGAATTTATTACGAATTCATCCAATAATTTGTTCCGAATTCGTCCAAGAATTTACCGAATTCGTCCAATAGTTTACCGAATTCGTCCAAGAATTTACCGAATTCGTCCAATAGTTTAACAAATTGGTCCAAGAATTTGTTCAGAATTCGTCCAAGATTTCTTTCCGAATTCGTCTGAGAATTCTTGGAGATATATGATAAATTAATTTAGTATCATTGTAACTCTGGCAACGTTGGCTAAACAGACTCCATCAGATGATGTGTTTCTTTACGGTGTATATATCATATTTTATATGTTAAATAATAATAAAAATATAATAATTATCATATATTACTTATTTTTTATTATATTTAACCCAACTAGGGGTATAAACAAATAACCCAACTTAAATATAACCCCTATAACCCCCTTATAATATATTTTCGATAAAGATTTAAATTAGTGAGGTCCTGATAGAATAATTAATTTTCCATTTACTAATTAAAAATAATGTAGATCTACGGCGTAATTATTATTAGTGAAACCTTACTTTTTATAATGCGTACACTCAGAGAAGAAAATTAAGGCTTTGTCCAAAATTATGTGAGTCATCCAGACTCAGTTTGGCCCGGCAAAAGGGCGTATCTGTGCTACGTCCGCTCTCACTGCACACGCTGAATTCTTAGAAAGTGCGTCACTATTTGACAGTAACTCATTCATTTATTTGTGTGATAAGTCAACCGTACTGCGCGTTTTGAGAAAGTTGAATAAATGAAAAAATTTTCCGATGATATGTAATTAAAATTTTCCGATTTTTTTTATAAATTAAGTTAAGATTAAATTCGCGGATTCTAAGTGTTAAATAATAATTTTTAATAAAATATGTATTAAACGAAATTTATTTAAAGAGGGAAGTGCTTGTGAATGAATATATGAATGCAGGCAGTAATGAATGTAATCAATCATTCATTATCTATAATGAATGATTGATCACATTCATTCTTATTTCATGAATATCCATGACGCCTAAATTCAAGATTATATAGTACGCAGTAGTCTGTTGTGAATGCAATTAGTTTTATTAATTGATCTAATTAATATATTTATTCGATAGATTATCTGTTTACACAAAGTGTAAGAAATAATATATCAATAAACTTGGTAACTGAAAATACTCTTTTTAAAAAATTATTATAATGTAATTTGTAATCTATTTAATATATGTAATTCTTTTATATATTGCACGATTATTGACTTTAAAACTAATTAATTTAAATGATAAATGATAAGAAGAACGTACATACAAACGACGGATAAATGGCAATAAGGAAAATAAAAAGAAACCGTGTAAAAAGACTCGATAATTCATGTTTTTGAGTTAATGAACAGAAAAATTTTAACTAAGAAAATTCGGAATAACTTGAAATTTCATTCATATCTGGCATATATGAAATTTTAAATACGGCTCATTTCTCATGAATGGAATTAAGATGAAATATACGTAATTTTCAACGCTGTTTCACATCTTAAATGAACAAAAATCACCTTCGTCGCCGGCCATTGTGGTTTGTGTTTGCTAGAGAAGTAAGCAGAAAAGAAGGGTGGTCGCGACACCAACCTCACTCGACCAGCACTGAGACCCAACTGACGGGGGACCGCCAAGCCAGTTGGGTCTGCCGCGCCAGAGTTGCCAGCTACCAATTCCCGCTGAGGTCAACGGAATCGATATAAAAAACGATAAGGGCGATAATGGCATATCAGTAAATATAAAGTCTAGATAAACTTGACGCCATTGAGGTTCAAGTTCTAGACGTGCGTAAAGTTATCGGTGAGAACTTTTAGGAGTGTGGATTAAAAGTTAACATTAAAACGTACGACATATTGGTAGAAATATTTTCTCCATTTATCGCAAAAGATATAAGATAAGCAGTTCATGAGTCATTGTTACGAAAATATTCGCAATTTAAACTAATTTTTCGCAATTTAAACTCATTAAATTCCGTGAAAGACTAAAAAAAGAACGAGAATATATAAACAAACAGAATGAGGGTGACGCCTGCCAGACGCACGATGCTTTGGCTATCAGTTGCAAACAAGTCGCGCTGTGATTGGTCGGCTGGCAGAGGGTAGACCAAACCGTCTATAAATAAGCGAGCCCAAGATAATGTGCACCGCGTCCTTAAATAGTGAAATAAGTGAACCTATTCCAATGCCATGTTGCTAGTGCATAGAGAAATAGGTAAACCTGTAATTATATCAAATAAAATATATCTTTCTGTTATAATTAACAAGGTTTTATATAATTTGGTATAAAACATGCCTTATAACGGTAATTAAATCAATATAGTATGATTATAGGAATATAGATATAGCTTTCTTCTGTCATCAAAACATTATTAATATAAATACATAGATTTTGATTTGTCACAAATTTAAATTTTCGTAGGACTCCAAAACACGGCGCAGTTTCAAATTAAGATGAAAAAAGTCGATTTCGGTTTGAATTACACTTGTTTTATAATAAATTTAGTGGTATCATGATAAAGGGAAATCACGATTGGGGGATATCACGATAAGGGATATCCTGATGAGGGGATGTTAAAATTGCTGCAGATACAACTGAAACAGTTACAGCTGCTGCAGTTACAACTGCTGCAGTTACAGTTGCTGCAGTTACAGTTGCTGCAGTTACAGTTGCTGCAGTTACAGTTGCTGCAGTTACAGCTAAGCCTCTGTCCGACTTGGCAAGGTCTCAAGGCTGGCTAAGTACACAGCTGCTGTATAGTTGTGTGCCAGGTACACAGATGCTGTGTTATATGTTATGTATAGCAGCTTTATCTTACAATAGCTGCTGCACATTATCCCATTAACTGCCTAATTAATGGTTAGTTAAAGTTAGCTCTCAACTAATTATCTAGACAATTTGTCAAGTTATAATATCTGAAAAATTAACAATTTTTTCAATGAAATATTTTTATATATATTGCAAATTAAACCAGGTTAAAAGGGTAAAAATACACTCATCAAAAGGTAGCACTTTTTCGTCAGTCAAAAAGAAAAAAATTAGGCATGTCAGGGTAAAAACGTTTTAAAATTTTACTTTAATATTAAAAATTGTCGAAAATGTTCCATTTAGAAGCAGTGAAAACCAAAAAAAAAGGTTGTATTAATTCGCATTTGCCGTAATGGTCTTGAATCCTTCTCAGACAATAAGACAAGTCTTAAGAAAGGAGTCCGATGAGTTTTACTTATATTAAAGTACACCGCAACGAGCCCATAACAAGACGAAACCGAGTCCGAACAGAGTCGGAACAAGGTCGCAACAGGGCCATAACAGAGTCGAAACAGGGCAATAGCAGGGTCATGACAGAGCCGTACTGTGGCTAGGACAGAGCCATGGCAGGGACATGAATGGGTCGTAACAAGGTCGGGAAAGTATCGTACACAGCCGCGAAAGGGTCGTTCACGGCCGGGATAGGGTCGTAAAAATGCTCGGATAGAGTTGTAACAGGGCTGGGATAGGGTTGTAACAGGGCCGGGACAGAGTCGTAGCAGGGTCCGGACAGAGTCGTATCAGGGCCAGGACAGAGTCATAGCAGTGCTGGGACAGAGTTGTAGCAGGGCCGGGAGAGAGTCGTAGCAGGGCCGGGACAGAGTCATAGCAGTGCTGGGACAGAGTCGTAGCAGGGCCGGGACAGAGTCGTATGGGGAGGGGGAGATATGAACATTGGAGGTGGGAAGATAAGATGACAATCGACATTAAATAGATGAGGATAAAGCTGTAAGTGGCGTGTTCGAGACCGCAGCAAGCTGTGAATATTCTACAATGTTCAGAATCGGCTAAAGGTCATACGGCCTAAGCAACGCTGACACCGTTTTACTATACTAAGTCTGTCCTGATAACACTATCCATGATTAAAGTCACCACCCTCACTAAAGTCACCACCCTAACATACAGTATAAGCTCACCAAGATGAGAGGCGAGGACCTCGCCTGCCGGGGAGCAACATGGCAGCCATGCAGGTATCACAGAAGGCGTGGTTGCAGCCGTCAACCACATACACGTGGGTGTGGTGGGTGGGTACTATACCCACACATAACCCACACCTCGTGTGGTCCTTCCACAGGTCCTGGATGTGGCGGACGTGTGTGGCCTTGTGGTAGAGGGTTCCCCAGCCCCGCGGGGGGAGGCGGGACAGCATGTGGGGGTGGACCGTGAATGTGGTCCTCGTGTGGCAGTAGTGGGCCGCAGTGAAGGTGAGCAGGCGGTCCACTTGGTGTGGGGAATAGGGGACGAGGGGGTGGTCCTCGATGAGGGTGCGGGGGAGGTCCGGGGGAAGGTCAAGGAAGGGGAGACCGACCAAGTTCATGGCGATGAAGAGGGGTAGGTAACGGGTGTTGAGATTGTCGCATAGGTTGCTGGTGGGGTCGTTGGTCAGGTTGTTGGGGAAGTGGTTGGGGTTGAAAGGTTGCATATGCACGATCAATTCATCCAAATTATACCGGGTAATCAGGTTGTGGATGAGTATGTTCACCTTACGCACGATGATTCCCCATAACTCACGTACCGCCATTTCGCGCCGCCAGTTTCGGGTTGAAGCGAGCGCGGATTTGACCAGAAGTTGACATATATGTTGACACTCAAACAACACGTTCACCATGTCAGCGGTCATGTGGCTGGTCAAAGTAACTTGCAATCTTTGAATCCTGATCAACCTTCCCATTAAATTTGCAATGTTTCTCAATAAAAATATTTTCATAGTAACGTAGAGGATATCGACGGACCGGCGTAGCTGAAATACTGGCCTGGGGTCAAGGGGGTCCGACATTCTCCTGGGGTCAATGGGGTCAGATACTCCCCTGGGGTCAATGGGGTCAGACACTCCCCTGGGGTCAATGGGGTCAGACACTACCCTGGGGTCAATGGGGTCAAACACTCCCCTGGGGTCAATGGGGTCAGACCCTCCCCTGGGCTCAATGGGGTCAGACATTACCCTGGGGTCCATGGGGTCAGACACTCCATTGGGGACAACGAGGTCGCCTAAACATTCCCTAATGAAGACAACCTCGTCAGGGAAGACGAATGGCGTATGCCACGGTCCTGTGGCATTAAGTTGGCGCTCTCGCCGTTGCCACGTGGCGCAGATGGCCCGCAATTCCGCCATGTCGGCGGACATATCCCGCGCCGGGGCTGCTTCAGGGTAATCAGCGTAATCAAAGCTGTCGCCGTCCGTATCATCCCCGTCGGCATCGTCGGTATCATCCCCGTCGGCATCGTCGGTATCATCCCCGTCGGCATCGTCGGTATCATTGGCATCATTTTCATTCACAACCGCATTTGCATTCACGGCCGCACCTTCATTCACGACGGCACTTTCATTAGGGGCGGCATTTTCATTCATGGCTGAATTTGCATTCACGACTGCACTCGCATTTACGGCCTCATTTCCATTCACTGCCGGATGCCCATTCACTGCTGGACGCCCATTCACTGCTGGACGCCCATTCACTGCCAGATACACATACATTGCTGGACGCCCATTCACTGCTGGATGCCCATTCACTGCTGGACGCCCATTCATTGCTGGATGCCCATTCACTGCTGGACGCCCATTCATTGCTGGATGCCCATTCACTGCTGGACGCCCATTCATTGCTGGATGCCCATTCACTGCTGGACGCCCATTCATTGCTGGATGCCCATTCACTGCTGGACGCCCATTCATTGCTGGATGCCCATTCACTGCTGGATGCCCATTCACTGCTGGATGCCCATTCACTGCTGGACGCCCATTCATTGCTGGATGCCCATTCACTGATGGACGCTCATTCATTGCTGGACGCCCATTCATTGCTGGACGCCTATTCACTGCTGGACGCCTATTCACGGCTTCATTCACATTCATGGCAGAATTTTCATTCATTGTTCAGGTCCGAAATTTTCTTGAATTTAGCAATTCTTGACCGTCGTAAAATTAATTTATTTTTCAGATTTTCAGAAAAGGTGTTTGAAAAATCTGAAAATTATTGATAATCACATAATTGATAACAACAGATAATAACTGATGTAATTGATGAAATTCTGATTATTGCGTTCAGGCGCTGGAGTCATCAAAATTGCAATAAAAATGTTATGGCAATTATTCCTATAATAATTGTATGGGTAAATAAATGCAATTCAAATAAATATTAAATTAAATTTAAATTATTAATAAAAGATAGCCTTTACATATATAACCGAATCTAAACATTTTAAGTACGTGGTCACACCATATACGATAATCAGTCACTAAATTTATTAATTACGGTCTGATTTAGTTCAAATAAACTAAAAAAATTGCACATTAGTAGCTAATTTTTATCAGTGGTTCCCAAAGTGGGCGATATCGCCCCCCTAGGGGAGGGGGAAAAATTTTGGGGGGCGGTGAGGAAGAAGAGGGCGGTAGAGGGGCCATTGGGGGGCGATAGTCCGAAGTCAATGTCAGAAGTTCCAACGTTTGTTCGACGATTTGTACACAACACGTGCAGCACATGTCTCCCAGCGATGGTTTTTTTCACCCAGATCTGTTTTTTCAACCTCTCCTGAGTTTACGTCTCGGACAAATTAACGGCCGGACTCGCGGCCGGTCTCACCGCCAATTTCCAAATTCAATGACCAAAGAATATATTGCAAACTAATGAACTTAACTCGATGAAACTTAGTACACGTATTCATTAAGACCTAACGATAATGTTTAGCTCGAGAAAATTGTTTTGAATTTTGCCATCGTTTGTTTTTGCCATGGTTATATGGCAATACGGGCCGAAATTCACAGTGAACAGGTAATTTCTTCCAAGCTACTGAACAGATTCGAACGGAATTTTTGAATTTGCAGTCATTATTGAATTTAACTACCGAACGGTAATGTTTAGCTCGTGAAAAATTTTTCGATTGTGCCTTCGTTCGCGAGTTTTTTTTCATTTCACCTTCATTCGTGATTTAAACTAGCAATTCGTGCTTAAATTCGCAGTAATCAAGAAATTTTTTTCCAAACTGCTGAACATGTTTGAACGAAACTTAGTATATTTAAATACCTAACCTCAGCAACGATGATATTTAGCTCGCTACAATTTTTTCGCCTTGCCTTCGTTTGTGAGTTATACGGCTATACGTAGACGGCTCTTGGTTAAACCGGCCGGTAGAAAAGCTACGAAAGTAAAATCGAAAAAATTTTATAAGCTAAAAAATCACCGTTGGTAGTTGGGAACGTATATTCAAAATTTCGTTCAAATCTGTTCAATAGTTTGGAAGAAATTCTTTGATCACTGCGAATTTCGGCCTGTTTCGCAATATACGCGTAACTCACGGATGAAGGTAAAATTAAAAAAAGTACGAGCTAAACATCACCGTTAGGTTCTGATGAATATATGTTCCGAGTTTCATAGAGCTGCGTTCATTAGTTTGAGAGATATTACTTGATAATTGAATATGGAGATTGGTCGTGAGACCGGCCACGAGTCCGGCCGTAAATTTGGCCGAGACGTCCTAGGTTTCTAGTGTTTAAACAGTTATAACAGCTGAAAAACATATTGGTTCACAAAATGGGGTTCTATTAGTGAAATACACATTTGTGTTTAACATTTCTCTTTTAAAATTGCAGCGTACTAAATTTCAAGAAAGAGGCGGATGTCTGTGGGGGGCGCTAGAAATTCACTAGGGAGCCAAAGGGGGCGCTAGCCTGAAAAAATTGGGAACCACTGTTTTAAATTAATGTTTGTAAATATATAGGGTACCTATAATGCATGTATATATATATTAATTATCACAACAGTGAGTGGTCGAGAGCATCAAGAATGGGGCAGCGAGTTGAGGTTTCGAAACACGCGTTAAAAAGTTTTAATACGTGGCAGACTCGCATCAGGTGCCGCCCAGGACTCGGGGAGCACGTAAATCAGCCGCTAATGTCCGCTGCGTCACAGCTAGGGTTTGAAGTGCAGCCACTGGGCAGCTTGCATCACTGAATACAATTGAAACTGTAGGGCATACTGGGTGGAATTCAAACACAAATTTGGAGGAATTCTAAGGAAAACCGGGTGGAATAATGAGCAGAGCTGGGTGGAGTCCTAAATAAAACTAAGTAGAATTCTAAAAAAAAAGGTGGAATTCCAAGGAAAACTTGGTGGAATTATAAAGAAAACTGGGTTGAATTCTATGAAAAATTATAAGGAAAACTTGGTGAAATTATGAGGAAAGCTGTGGAGTTTCAAGGAAAACTGGGTAGAATTCTAAAGAAAACTGGAAGCAATTCAAAGGAAAATTGGGTGGAATTCTAAGCAAAACTGGGTGGAATTCATGGAAAAACTGGGTGGAATTCTAGGGAAAACTGGGTGGAATTCTAGGGAAAAGGGGTGGAATTCTAAGAAAAATTATGAGGAAAACTTGGTGAAATTATAGGGAAAACTGTGGAATTCTAAGGAAAACTGGGTGGAATTCTAGGGAAAAGGGGTGGAATTCTAAGAAAAATTATGAGGAAAACTTGGTGGAATTCCAGGGAAAACTGGGTGGAATTTTAAGGAAACTTGGGTGAAATTCTATGGAAAACTTGATGGAATTCTAAGCAAATCTGGGTGGAATTCTGTGAATGGGAGGAATTCCAAGCAAACTGGGTGGAATTCTAAGAAAAACTGGAAGGAATTCTAAGGAAAAATGGGTGAAATTCTAAGGAAAACTGGGAGGAATTCTAAGGAAAAATGGATGAAATTCTAAGGAAAACTGGGTGGAATTCTAGGGAAAACTGGGGGAAATCTATGGAAAATTGGGTGGAATTCTAGGGGAAACTGAGGGGAATTCTAAGGAAAATTGGATATAGTAAAATGTTCAAAATTCTGAACTTAAATATTGACAAAATAAACATAGACTAACAACCTAAATGAAACAATTACTACCTAGTAGTACAGCTGCGGACTATCCCCTATAGTTAGGATGGTCATTCTGCACTAGAAACTGCAAAATTGTTCAGTAGGTTGAAACACTTGGTGATAATAATTATTTGGAAAACAAAATTAAGACTAGAAATATTTCCACAGTTTCCCCAACATAAATCTTTCACAATTTCCTCAATATATTTTTAGACAGTTTCGCCAATTTCTACCACGGTTTCAAATTAAACGTCTTCTTCGCGGATGGGAATGGCTATGCTCCGAAACCATCAACAACTGTTCATTAAATTTAAATCTTTCAAAACATAAATTTGAAAGACTAAAAACATTTGAAAGGCAAAAACATAAAACATATATAGTTGCTGTTATCTACCACACCACCACTACCGTCTTATAATGACAGAATCAGTTAGCGGCACAGGTAAACGTTACAGACACCCGTAAACGTTACAGAAACAAAAGACGTTACATTCAACGTTATACATCACGTTCAACGTCACTGTTTTGTTAGTGTAAAATATTATAAGCGAAAATATGACATCATGGATGATTATTAATAAATACAGTAACGAAAAACACGGCAAACTCTTAAAGCGATGAGCTATTAATGATCTTATAAGCGGATTCTAGTCCTTATATCCGGCGTCCTTACATCCGCATTATGGTCCTTATTTTTTTATTGATTGATTTTTATTCACAAAGGAGCTTTAGTTACAATTGAAAAGAGAAAAAGAAAAACATTTATAAAATAATAGAGACATCCAAGTGAATGCCCATAAGCAGATAAGCTTCGCAATAATTATTAAGATTAAATTAAATAAATTAAATTAGGAACCACTCCTTCGCAAATTAGGAACCACTCCTTCGCAAATTAGGAACCACTCCTTCGCAAATTAGGAACCACTCCAATTATATAATTGGAGTGGTTCCTAATTTTACCAAGCAATTGAATTAAATCTCCTTGAAAAAGGTTTAAAATCTTCTTTATATACACTGGTTTGTATTTTAGATTTATCACTTGCTTCTCTCATTAGAGGATATTTAATCTCAATCGAATTTGTTAGCAATAATTTTTCAGAAATGTGAATTTAAATGAATGCATGCATTATTTTGACATGCATTCCACTCAATGATCGTTATTAAAATATAAAATTTCAGGCATTAGTTGAATCTATTGATATTAATTATTTCTAGCATGAATTAAAGTAATTATTAAAGTCTTCAATCTTCAATTAAGTAACCTCTAAAACTTGATGGAATAAAAAACAATATCCTGTGAGATTTTAATAATCTTACTGATAATGATAGATAATTTTCTTCACCCTTAGTCGTCGGTTAAAGAAGCCTTCATAAATTCAATGCTGTGGAAATCCAAAGAAATTCACAAAAAAATCTATGGGTCATACTGTACAAATTATGACGTATCTTCTTACCTAACGCACGCGTAGAGGCAGTCAATTGTACAGCCTGACTCCATGGGGGTACAGTCAATTGTACAGCCTGACTCCATGGGGGTACAGTCAGCTGTACAGCCTGACTCCATGGGGTACAGTCAAGTGTACAGCCTGACTCCATGGAGGTGCAGTCAATTGTACTGCCTGACTCCATGGGGGTACAGTCAATTGTACAGCCTGACTCCATGTAGGTACAGTCAAGTGTACAGCCTGACTCCATGGAGGTGCAGTCAATTGTACTGCCTGACTCCATGGGGGTACAGTCAAGTGTACAGTCTTACTCCATGGGGGTAGTCTAATTTTTTCACAAATTTTCACATTTTTTCAAAAAATTCAACTTTTTCAAAAATGTTAAAAACAATTCAAAGATTATCAAATTTTCCCAATTTTCTTCAAATTTTCACAAAATAATATTTATTCTGATTGACGATTGTTAAATGTTAAGAGGGTTAAGGTTAATAAAACTTTTAACTTTATTTATTGTCGCATGTATAAAAATTCATATTTTTTCTGTTATGAATGTAAAAACAAATTTGTTGTGTCCTGGAAAATGAAAAATTCTACTAGCGGAAATTTGTTCTGACTAAATCTATTTAAAAATTGTTTTTTTGGCTTGAAGACAATGAACAAACTATTTTTTTATCTTTATCAATTGCTGCTTTCATAAAAATTCAGAGGTTGGGAATAAATTAATTTTTCCTCAATGAATGGTTGAATGAAACCGAAAATGTGATTTTAAAAAGCCAAAATGACAGTAAAAAACCACGACGATCCTAAATTTACTGCAGCAAAATTGGAACAAAAGTTCAGAGTCATTAGCTAAAATGAGTCAATGCTAATAAATGCATGAATATAATATACATATCGTCCGTATAAAGGGTAACTCAATTAATTGAAAACACGTCTTTAAAATTGCATAAATTAGGTAAAATTGTGACATTTTCATAAGCTTTTTACAAAACGCTAAAAAGCTTGGATGGTTTGAGAGAAAGGTTGAGGGGTTAAAGGAGGGGTTGGGGGAAAAGTTTGGGGTAGAGGGGGACTAGTCGGGTTGGGAAAGGGGTTTAACGACGGGTTGGAGAAGGGGTTTAACGACGGGTTGGAGAAGGGGTTTAACGTCGGGTCGGGACATTTTTTTGAGGAAGGCTTAGGGAAGGATTTTCGGAAGGGGTTGGGGTCGGCGTAGGGGTTGAAGTGGGCGTAGGGGTTGAAGTCGGCGTAGGGGTTGAAGTTGGCGTAGGGCTTAGGGTTGATGCTGGGGTTGGGGTTAGGGTTGGGGCTGGGGCTGGGGCTACCCGTCTCCCGCGCTCTCTTGCTGCCTGCAGGCGCAGGATCCTGCTGAGCTCTGCGAACACGCCGCTGCGCATCCAGAAACGCGATCGCTTCCCGCAGACCCTGCAGCTCCTGCGGGGGGTGGGGGGAGGTTATTGGAGGGGGGAGGGTTGTATCCTCCCACCACTCACCCCTCACACCACTCACCCCTCCCACCACTCACCCCTCCCTCTCCAGCTTCTTCACGCAGCGGGCGCAGTAAAGATGTCTGCAGGCGTTCAAGATGGCAAAAAATTCTCTGGAATTTTTGTCGAATTTCTTACAGCAACGCTCATTGGTCGATATTTGTGCGACCAAATACAAGAATTTATTTCTTCTTGCTTTGTCGTATAATTTTTGCCATGGAAACGCCCACTTCTTATAAAGAGTTAGCATATTATATCCAACCTCCATTGTTTTCTTGCAAGAAAGGTTATTACAAGCTACTAAATGTCTGATTATGTTTGGTTGGTCGCATAGTGGGACGTTGCACAGGAAGACATCCACACAAACTCTGCTGCTGTCCAGGTTCATCAGGATTCTCAACATCCTGCGACTGGTAGTTAGGTATCTTCTGGCGGCTGCGAACTTTGGGTCATCAGGTAGATTTCGTAATAGTTTGGTGATAACTTGAATCGAGTAAACCAAGTTGCGGAGGCGAAATGTAGCCATACATATTCTTCGAGGCTCTAGGTTCCTCCGAGCTTCTAGAAGCACCGTACAAATGTCGTGTATTTTCTTGGCCAAGTCTGTCTCATAGTTGACTGCGAATCTTCCCGACTGTTGAACCGTCCCCACCCAATCGTGGCCGTTGAAAACCCCGTCATGTGTGAAAAAATGTTGCAAAAAACCTGCCAGTCTTCCTATACTGCAAGTTAGGGATGCGCTCTCCTTCAGACAGGCCATCCTGGTCGCCTTCAGGTAGAGTAGGATTTCGGAGCAAGAGTACGAACGAATAGGTATGAAGTTTTCGGCTCCTACATTGTCTCGAAAATCTGCTTCCGCTGCTCCTGCAGCTGCTAAACCGTCTTTTTGGACTTCAATACTAGCTCCTGCAGTTCCTGGGCCGTTTTCTTGGATTCTAATATTTGATATTTCAGCTCCTGAACCGTCATCTTTCCCAGCAATATTCGCTCCTTCTGTTCCTAAGCCGTTTTCTTCGACACCAATGCTTGTTTTTTCAACTTTCAAACCGTCTTTTTTTACTTTAACACAAGCTTCTTCAGCTGCTGAATCATTTTCTAGGACTCCAATACTTGTTAATTCAGTTCTTGAACCCTTTTCTTTGATTCCACTACGTTTTCTTCCGAATTCTGAACCGATTTTTCTTACTGCATTACTTCCTCTTCCAACTTTTGAACTTTTTCCTCTTACTCCACTACTTTTTCCAACGTCTGAACTTTTTCCATTGACTCCACTATTTCCTCTTCCAACTTCTGAACCGTCTTCTTTGACTCCAATAATTGATCTTTCATTTCTATCGCCAGCTGTACAGTGTCCATCAACGGCCAAGCCGGCTACAATAGCTGTTGCAATGTCTAAATTTACAGAAGTATTGTCTGAATTGGCTTCTGCAAAATCTTCGTCGGCTGCTGAATTTACAGATTTGGTTTTTATTCCGGCTTCATCAGCTACTTGTACTGCTATAACGGCTTCTTTTGCTGTTGTACTGGTTAAAAAGGTTGATTTATTGGCAATATTGTCTGCTGTGTCGGCATCAACGGCTATACCAGTCATATTGACTGCTAGATAGGCCTCACCACTATCATCAGCACCAGAATCTTCATACTCTGTATTATTCTCCTCTCTGAGGGCTTTCAGTCTGTGTCTACGAAGCAGTTTTCCCCAAGCTACAGGCCTTCTTTTGGACGTCGAAACCTCTTTCCTGTCCGAGAACCTGTCCCTCGTCCGAAGCTTGGAACGCACTCTTCCGGAAGTTGCCTTTTCGACTCTTGACCTTCCATGTTTGGGTTTCGAATCTGCACCGCGAGCTGTTTCAAGCTTATTGATGTCTTGGCTAGAAAATTGACTTAATCTTTTGAGATTTCCAGTTACATTTTTAGCTTTCATCGTATTTCTAACTTTCGTCCAATTAGTTTGGTTGGATCTGACAGTGGGTTTTCTTAGATTACTCTCAGTTCTTGACGAAGCAGGAATGACTCCTGTGGATGATGGGCCAACTTTTCGATTTTTGGATTTCACTCTCCCGGAAGTCGTTCCATCAGCCCGGGTATGTTCAGCTGCTACGTTGTAATTGCCAACTACTCTGGTAACGCAGTTGCTTGAGCCTCCCATCAAGTCAACCATTTTACCCTTACCAGTTTTGGTATCACTAACGCAAGCATTTCTAGTCCTATTTACGTTGCCCTTCTTCGCAATACTAGTATTTCCATTCAAACTCCTATGAGAGGATGTAGAAGCCAGGCCTACATCAACCCGGTAGGCGTTTGAAAGAAGCCTACTGCCATTTTTCCTGTGTCGACTTCTCAGCCGCTCTACTCCTCTGTTGACCTCCCCGTCAGAAGAAGTTTCTTCATCTGCAAAGCTCATTTGACGCGCAAGATTCGCTGTTGATTTTGAACCCATGATTCCTACCGGTTTTTCCTCGGATTCTAGCCTATTTATATTCAGACTTGGATCGACAAACGGCCGAGATGAAGGGGCGCCGCCGTTCCGTGTTTCAAAATCATTGCCCGCTCTGATATCCCGGGAGGTTTTTTTGAGTTTCAGAAACTTTTTTCTGGAAGCCGTGGTGCTTTGACTTTTAGCTTTGCTATGACTTGCATTTGGTGCTATATTTCTGCAAGAACCCACTTGCCCCGGGATGGTTTCACGCACTGTTTTGCCGTGCCTCTTAGTTAGTGCCGAATTGGTCGATATTTCAAGTCCTTCTTTAAGTTTCCCCAATCCTGAAATTTTTTGCCTGGTCGTAGGTGAAGCTTCTGCAATTCTGGGCAGATGCAATGGCGCACTTGCAGTTGTCCTGTTGCGAGGTTCTATAGAGACGGATTCGCAGTGTCCAGAGTTTACAGTTTCCGGTATCTTTCCGTTGTTGATTGATGTATAACAATCGTTTGTATTAGTCTTTAGGACATTCCCACTTGATCCTGTGGCTTTATTTCTTTTCTTGGTCCATCGAGAGACCTGACAGCCTCCAGTATTTTTCTGGTAGATTTTAGGGACATCATCGCTATGCATATACGTGAGTAAGTTGGTTCTGTATGCCAGCACACTGTTAGCAAAGCTACATGAGGTCCTGTTGAAGACAATCCTTCTGGTTCTTGCGTCAATCTTGACGGTTCTTGGATCAGTTCCAGTTACTTTAGAAATAATTAAACATCTTCCATGGTCCCCTCGGCACCTATCAGGGGCAGGGATTACAAGATTGTTGACTGACGCAACATGTCCACTGAGGAATCCAAATGCTTCGTTTCTCAATCCAGGTGTATCTCGGTTCGGCCAACTCTGTTCTTCTTCCGAGTCTGGTGAGGGTAGGTCAGATTCATCTGACTCATCTTCTGAACCCATGTCCGAAGTGTCCAATTCTGAGAGCCCTTCATCTGATGGAAAGTATTCTTCGAATGATAGAGGTTCTTCTTCGTCTGAACCAGGGTAGTCTGTGTCCGATGAAGAGTCTGAGTAAAAGAATGATTTGTGCGATACATGACCTTTCGGTGATCCAGGACTACCATCGAGTGATCCAGGGCCCCCATCGATTGATCCAGGGCCTTCTTCAGATCCAGGGTTACCATCGAGTGGTCCAGAGCTACCATCGAGTGATCCAGGGCCTTCTTCAGATCCAGGGCTACCATCGAGTGGTCCAGAGCCTTCTTCAGATCCAGAGACTTCTCTCTTCGGTGTAAGGTTTCCAGAAGATAATGCATGTGACGCGTTAGATTCCTCATTTCTTTGCAAACAGTCATGATCATCACCCTCCGAAATCTCAACTTCTGCTCCTACTTCTTCAAGTATGACTTCCCTCTTTGGTGGTTCTTTTTCAACTTCGGGAGGGACATGCACCAAGTTGAACTTACGCAACTCTTCAATACCACCTTCTCCACTTCGACTCCTACCTGCACCTTGGACTTTATATGAACTATAACCACATAGGCCAGTTCTATATGTTCCATATGTGGTATCTCGACATGCGCCCCACCCCAAGAATGCCCGTCCAGTCAACATGTAGCAGTAGGCTGACATTACTCCTTCCCCGCATGCTCCATCTCCATCCTCCACGTCTCCATGCTGTCCTACTCCATTCTCCACTTCCTCGTCCTCTCCTTCTTCATCCTGCTCATCTTCTACTACGTTTACCACTTCCTCGCACTGTCCTACTTCATCCTGCGCATCTCCTACTTCGACCACCACTTCCTCGTCCTCTCCTACTTCATCCTGCGCATCTCCTACTTCGACCACCACTTCATCGTACTGTCCTGCTTCATCCTGCGCAATTCCTACTTCGACCACCACTTCCTCGTCCTCTCCTACTTCATCCTGCGCATCTCCTACTTCGACCACCACTTCCTCGCACTGTCCTACTTCATCCTGCTCCCTTCATCCTCCCCTTCATCTTCCCCTTTATCCTCCACTTCATCCTTTCCTCCATTCCTTCCTTCATCCTCCCCATTATCCTCCCTTCTATCCTCCCCTCTATTCTCCCCTTCATCCTTCCTTCTATCCTCCCCTTCCTTCACTCCATCCTTCCCTTCATCCTCTTCTTTTTCTTCCCCTTCCAACACATCCCTCCCTTCATCCCCGCCCAGCCCCACTCCCCAACAGGTCACCCGTCCCCCAGACGTCGTCCTCCCCCCCAGAGCGCGCGATTCTGGGCCCCTCTCACCCAGCTGGGGCCCATCGGGATCCGGTCTCTTCCTGGCCCGCTTGCCCGTTCGGACGTCTCTATTTTTTGTCCCAATTTCACTACTTAAACCAATTTCAGGCACGATGTCAATTTCAGGCCTCACGCCAATTTCAGGTCGCACGCCAATTTCAGGTCGCACGCCAATTTCAGGTCTCACGCCAATTTCAGGTCGCTTTTCACCGTCAATTTCACCCATATTTTCACTTCCAATTTCACCTCAGCGCCTCGTGTCCTTTTTTCAATTTTTCCGATTTTGCGGGCACAATTTTTTCCTTTCAGTTTCGTTGTTCACTGAAAAAATAAATCAAAATTTTTTACTTTCTTAAAGTAAAAATTTTTTTCGGTTTGGCTGCTCACTTGAGGAACTAATTAAAAATTCGTAACCGCTCATAGGATTTTTGGGGAAATTAAAATCTGGAATAATATATGAATAAAAAATGCTATATGAATGGAAAACGATATTTTTCATGAATATAAATGAAATAAAATTATATTTTTCAGGAATATTGACGAAAATAATTTTATCCATGAAAATATTCAAGACATAAATGACAAAAAACTATATTTTCACATATATGAATGAAAAAACAATATTCATGAAAAAATGATATCCATGAAAAAATTCACGATAAGAAATAAAAAAAAATTACTAATGACACTCAGAGAGATGAGTGAGACTTTGTCCTAGTATCGATGCACTTTCGTCCTTGTGTGAGTCATCCTGACTCAGTTTGGACGTATAAATGTTTGTAGCTGCAGTCGTCAGTTCGTAACTTAAGACTATGTCAAGGCAGTGAAGCGGGTCAATATATGGACAATATAACTCATTCATTTGATTTAGTGTAGACGCTACGTCCCCGTAGTGCTCATGTTTCTACTACACGTAAATATTCATTCAGCTATTCATACATTAAATGAATTGAAATCATACAAATTAATGTTATGTTCACAAGTAGGTCACGTTGACACATTAATTTATTCATCTCTATAATTCCTGGTTAATAACCAGGGGCTGTATTATCAAAACTTCGTAAGTACGCAAAATCGACTTACGAGTGGCGTTAGTGCTGACTTGATGACGTAACTCTAGAGGTGGTATTATCAAAACATTTGCGCGGGAAGCTACCTAACGTAACTGTACGCCTGCTCGGAGATGTCGTAAGTGAAGTTCCGCACAAGTTTAGAGTGTCTGCTGAAGCGATAGGAAACTATTGCTTTACTAGCAAGTAGCAACACCTTCACTTGTGATAGAATTTTGTCAATAATCCGACAGCGCGGATTATACACGCATAGAATGATGGCTCTACTTGTGATGGCTCCACTACTTGATCGTGCAATATTTGCACGATCAAAATATGTGATCGTGCTAAACAGTGCTATTGGAAAAAAATTCAACTGAGTTAATGCCAGAAACTGATTTTGTTTTCATTTTACGTTATATTTTACAAGCAAATGCATATTACGTTATATTTTACAAGCCCAACTCTCTTCATTCATTCCTTCTAGTCGGTACTTTATATCTCTGCCAACCATAATTTTTAGCTCTGTACACAGATTTCTTCTTCAACTCACGCTGTTTATTAAAAAGAGTTCACAACTATTTTAGAACGGCTTTTTCTGGGCCAACAAGGAGCAATACCGACTCAATACCGACAGACAGAATTAGAATTCAATAGTGGATACCATCGAAGGCATCGATTCCCGCCATCGAAGTTCACAGAATGTAAACAAATCCAAAGCCTCTGATTGGTCAGTTGGCCAGATGGTTTTGATAGTACGCTTTTAGCTAAATCTTACGTACGAATGTTTTGATAATGCCAAAAAATTAGGGTGTACTTACGTAACACGTAACTTTTTTTGTTGGAAGTACAAAAAGTTACGAAGTTTTGATAATACGGCCCCAGGACCAGGCTACGCTCGTTTCATTCATGAGATATTCATTTTCACTTTTTACACATTCACTCTTTGCACATTCACATACAATTTTCACCTTATAAATATTCGCAAGGTTAATATGTTATCACCAGACGTTTAGGTATGTATAACATGTAAGAAATGTTACATGTAATACATGTATACGGTTAATGTAGGATTGTTCACCCTGGTACACGTCACCACCACGTCACGTGCACCCAATCACAAGCTTGGAAATTTCACCCACAACCTATAACGTCTGGAACGAGGCCTGTGATTGGCTGATGAAATGTGGTTGCTTATCCAGCTTTATCCAACTTTAACCAGCCCATTCAACTTTATCTAGCCCATCCAACTTTATCAGCCCCATCCAACTTTATCCAGCCCCATCCAACTTTATCCAGCACTATCCAACTCTATCCAGCCCTATCCAACTTTATCCAGCCCTATCCAACTTTATCCAGACCCTCCAACTTTATCCAGCCCCACCCAACTTCATCCAGCCCTAATCACTTTATCCAGCTCCATCCAACTTTATCCAGCGGGACAGCCCTTTCCAACTTTATCCAGCCCATCCAACTTTATCCAGCCCTTTCAAACTTTATCCAGCCCTATCCAACTTGACACACCGTGTATATATAATATGAAACGTTAATATAAATAATAGTTTTCATAAATAGTATTAACAAAAAATAGATGCCAGACTCACAGCAATAAAACACACTAAAAATAATGGTATGCACTCACAGCTCCGCGTGGGTCATCCTGACACAGTTTATGCCGGCACACGAGCGTATCAGTGATACGGCCGCTCTCACTGCTGCTAATGTACGGACTGCGGAATGTTAATAATAATGTTTATATATTACGTGTATTATTTACTAAATTTTCATTAAGTTAACCAAGTTAACTTTTAGTTAACCAAATCAGCCTTTAGTTAAGCAATTTAAACTTTACTTAACCAAATTAACATTAAGTTAACCCAGTTAACTTTTATTTAACCCAGTTAACCTTTAGTTAACCATACTAGCCCTTAGTTAAGCAATTTAACCTTTACTTAACCAAATTAACATTAAGTTAACCCAGTTAACCTTCGGATAATCCAGTTAACTTTATTTAACCCAGTTAGCTTTTCATTAACCCAGTTAACTTTTAGTTAACCCAGTAAACTTTTAGTTAACCCACTTAACTTTTAGTTAACCCAGTTAACCTTTAGTTAACCCAGTTAACTTTTAGTTAACCCAGTTAACCTTTAGTTAATTTTTAGTGAACCCGGTTAACCTTTATTGAACCCAGTTAACCTTTAGTTAACACAAATTAACCGTTAGTTAACCCAGTTAACCTTTAGTTAACCCAGTTAACCTGTAGTTAACCCAGTTAACCTGTAGTTAACCCAGTTAACCTGTAGTTAACCCAGTTAACCTGTAGTTAACCCAGTTAACCTATAGTTAATCCAGTTAACCTTTATTGAACCCAATTAACCTGTAGTTAACCCAGTTAACCTGTAGTTAACCCAGTTAACCTATAGTTAATCCAGTTAACCTTTATTGAACCCAATTAACCTGTAGTTAACCCAATTAACCTGTAGTTAACCCAATTAACCTGTAGTTAACCCATACTATGAAAATAATGGGGAATTAACTTGGGAATTTGACATATTATGAAAGGCGGGGCTTAAAAATCCACTTTTTACTAACAGGGGATTTGAGGAACTAGTGCCTTCTTGGATAGGCAGGACTAGTGTTGAATATTGGGTTGCTATGTCGGAATATATAATATAATTGAATATATAAATGGAAATTAACTTTTAAATTGAGGATATTATGAGATATTGTTGAATCTTGAATTGCTATGCAGGATCTACCAGACCCCAGTTCACAATTGCGGTGTTCACAACGAGTGAAACTCTTCTGCTTAAAAAATATAAATATATCAATAAATATATATTAAATATTATTATTATCAATAAATATTAAATATATCAATATGACCAAAATATATCAATATAATAATTAGTCAGTCGTCAATGATACAAAACTGATTTACACTAATTATTTTTTTTATTTCACTCAAATCTTAATTCAAGTTTCCCAAAAGTTGACCATCGAATTTATTATTGTCGCTTACAATGTTAATATTTTGCCATCGTGAAAATAGATTTTGGGTGGAAATAAGAGCTACGGGCCGTGAAAATTCTAAAATTAGAAATTTTTGAGAAATTTAAAATTTAGAAATTTACAAATTTGGAACTTACAAATAAATATTGGGCTACCAAATACCAAATATTAATTTAGACAACATAAATTGCAAAACTACAACGAAATTAAATCTCAAAACTACCTAGGGGATTTTTGTGGGGATTTATGAAGAAATATCTAACGATAAAGAGGGAAAGGGGAATTTTAAAAGGGGAAGAAGGGGTTGAGGTTAGTGGGGGGTGAGAGGACCTAGGGGATTTTTGTGGGGATTTATGAAGAATTATTTAACCTGAAGAAGAGAAAGGGGAATTTGAAAGGGGAATAAAGGGTTGAGGTTAGTGGGGGGTGAGAGGACCTAGGGGATTTTTGTGGGGATTTATGAGTAATTATTTAAATTGAGGGAGGGAAAGGGGAATTTGAAAGGGGAAAAAGGGGTTGAGATTAGTGGGGGGTGAGAGGACCTAGGGGATTTTTGTGGGGATTTATGAGGAAATATTTAACTGGAGGGAGGGTAAGGGGAATTTTAAAAGGGGAAGAATGGGGTTGAGGTTAAAGGGGGGTGAGGGGAGAAGGAATGTGTGGGAGTGCTGTATTTTGTGTCATTCCCCACTATATTTAGTGCAGCACTTGGCAGAACACGCAACCCCGCCTCCCCAAGTGGGGGGAATGACGGGGGGCTGTTCTGTCCGTCTGTCCGTCTGTCCGTCTGTCCGTCTGTCTGTCCGTCTGTCCGTCCGTCCGTCCGTCTGTCCGTGACCTCAAGTTTTCGTCTACGAGAAAATGCGCTCTCTGTCACTCACTGCAGTGAGTACTGAGTTATATTTTTATATTATTATGTGGGTCAACCTGACTCACTTGGGCATGCAAACGGGCTCTCTGCTTGTGCTGTATCAAGAAACTGAGTCATGTTTTAGACAATATTACTCATACAACCTTCCTGAGTGTAATAACGAAAGCAATTTAAGATTACATGACAAGGGAAGACTTCGGTAATGAGGGCAAGTCTAATTTTAATTAAAGTTTACACTTTGTGGTCATGATATATGTACGTAAGAAACAACTGGAATTGGTAAAGTATAATATG